AAATATTTTAGCTAGTTGATACTTACATGATTTCTAAACCATAGTTGAAATCTTTCATTATGAATTCGATCCACATTATGTCTTGATAGACGAGGATTTTCCTTCTTGATTTCTTTTATATGTTCACTACGGAAGTAAAACACATAACTATTTAATTAAAAATTGAAAGAAAATTATTTAATAATTAATTACTAAGTATAAATTATGATTTAATACTTACTCACGATATGAAGTGGTGGAGGTAGAATTAAATAAAACATATTTGTGGGCTTGAGCACGTGCAGATAAAACATAATTTCTTAAAGGTGGATTAGACTTAGTCTCGACGTCATCTAAATACCATGAGCAAAACGTCATTAATTCGTCTATCCAACGTCCCTCTTCAATCGCACCTTCTGGATAACGTCTATTCCTTACGTAGTTTTTAAGACAAAGCAAGAACCTAAAATAGACAATTATTAGAATACAAATACAATTTCTTGTAAGTATGATAAAAAAATAACAAAATGATACCGTTCGATAAACCACATTGAGCGATATTTTGAAGGTCCTCCCAACATTGTTTCTTCAGCTAAATGGATAAGTAGATGTTCCATGATATCAAAGAAAGATGGAGGAAATATTCTCTCCAAATGACATAGAGTTATTGCAACTCGATCTTGGAGTTTTTCTAAGTCACCTATCTTCAGATCTTTTGAACAAATGCCCCTAAAGAAATTACTTAATTCAATCAATGGCTTAAGTACATTCACTGGCAGGAGATTCTGCAAGGCAATAGGAAGGAGTTGTTGCATTATAATACGGCAGTCATGACTCTTCAACCCATGCATTGTGAGTTGCTTGAGATCAACACAACTTGAGATATTTGAAGCATATCCGTCTGGCACTTTCACATCTTTTAACACCTGTAAGAGGATGTCTTTTTGTGTGTTACTCAATGTGAAACATGCAGGAGGAAGAAAATATTTTCCATTAGCCTTTTTCTTAGGATGCAAAGCTTTTCGGATCCCCATCTCTTGTAAATCTAAACGGGAGTTTAAATTATCTTTTCCTTTTCCATCAACATTCAATAATGTCCAAAATATATTGTCTAAGACATTCTTTTCAATATGCATCGTATCAAGATTGTGACGAATCATATTGTCTTTCCAGTATTCCAACTCAAAAAATATGCTCTTTTGTTCCATATATTTTGCACCAAATTATCAACATCATCCCATTCCTTTACGAGATTTGGCCAATAGATCTTTACCAAATTTATTTTTAATATTATTCAATTGCTTAAGAATCTCAATTCCTGTCAACCATTTAGGTGCTCCATCTAACTCCACAAGGCCATTGAATGCCACTTTATCTTTTCGAAACTTGTGTTCATGAGATAACCATCGCCTATGAGACATGAAACAATATTTTCGCCCATTTTTCAATCTTGTAGATTTAGTTTTGGTAAGACAACATGGACAACCATATCTAGTTTTCACGCCATATCCTGATAAGTTACCTAACGCTGGAAAATCACTAATTGTCCAAAGCAATGCTGCACGCATTTGAAACATGTGATTGTTTGATGCGTCATAAGTGGCAACACCAACCCACAATTCTTTTAACTCATCAACTAAGGGTTGTAGATAGACATCAATATCATTACCTGGTGCACGAGGACCATCAATAATAGTTAGTAATATCATATATGGCTGTTTCATGCACAACCATGGTGGCAAATTATATGGAATCAAGATAACAGGCCATGTGCTATGTGAGATAGACATAGACCTAAATGGACTAAAACCATCTGAAGCCAATCCAAGTCTAACATTTTGAGGATCTCAAGCAATATCTGTATGCGCTTCATCAAATTTCCTCCAAGAAATACTGTCTGCAGGATGTCGCATTACCCCATCTCTAGTGCGACCTTCAGCATGCCATCTCATTTGAGTAGATGTTTTAGCTGACATAAATAGTCTTTGAAGTCGTGGTAGTAATGGAATATATCTAAACACCTTTGATGGAATTTTTTATGTTTCTAAACTGGAATTAACTGCACCTTTAAACTGTTTGTATCTTGGAGCTTTGCAAAACTTACAAGACGTTCTATCTTTCGTCTCATTCCAATAAATCATGCAATCATTTGGACATGCTTGTATCTTTTTATATTCAAGTCCTAAATCTTTAATAATATTCTTTGAATCATAAAAGGACTTGGGCAATGTTTCACCTTCTGGAAGTGATATACCGTGAGTTTACGGTATTTCTAATACATTTCACTTACAAGTTGTGTGTGTCTAGGGCCTTTTTGTATTGGTTTTTATGCATTTTTATCATGTTTTGCAGGAAAGGTGTTCAGGCGCGGAAGCTTAGAGACAGCTGAAGGAATTAGCCGAAAAAGGGCATCCACGGAGGTGATCTACGGACCGTAAATCCATTCACGGTCCGTAGGTTATGACCGTAGATAAGTAGGCATGGTATTGAGGATAAATCAAGGAAATCTGACCAAGTGTGGAACCACGGTGCCCATTGACGGTTCGTAGACTGATCTACGGACCGTACTGTTGATCCGTAGAGTGATACTGCGAGGGTTCCAGTACCTGATTTTTTGAAGATTCTAAGTATGGAGCTACGGAGAGGATTGACGGACCGTAGGTCGATCTACGGTCCGTACTGCTGGTCCGTCGTTTGCTTCAGAGAAGCTGATTTTTGGATGCTTAAGTATTATCTAAGTCCCGAGTGACGGAAGGGACTTACGGACTGT